ATAATAATGCAGCTAACCTATACATGCATACCGAGGGAACCATCTACCAAGTAGTGAGTCAGGTGATGCTATCACGCTAGAATCGGATGGTTGGTGGCAGAGGCAAAGAAGGCAAGTTACGGACCAAAGCGAAGACGAGGTCAGCGCGAGCTGGTCTGCAGTTCCTCGTGGGTCGTGTGCGCCATCTGTTGCGTCGTGGCAACTACGCGGAGCGCGTGGGTGGGTGCTGGAGCACCGGTCTACTTGACTGCTGTGCTCGAGTACCTGGCTGCCGAGGTGCTGGAGTTGGTGGGTAACGCAGCGCGCGACAACAAAAAGACGCGTATTATTCCTCGTCACCTGCTATTGGTTGGCTATCCGCAATGACGAAGAGTTGAACAAGCTGTTGGGCGGTGTGACCATCGCGCAGGGTGGTGTGCTGCCGAAGAAGACGGAGAAGCTGGTGGTCAGCAAGGAGTAGGCTGGCCTGCCCGCCGAGCACTTGACTGCCTGACTGACTGACCGGCTGAAAGTTGCGTGTTGGTGGTCAGCGTTACAGCGTCAGGTGTCGGGGCTGCAGAGTTGAGCTGTGGTGTGACTGGGGTGTGGGTGGAGTGTGGTGCTCTAGTAAAATGTAATCTTTTGGATGCCAAATTTCGAGCCTTCATCGGCTGAGCAGTCTCATCTGCGACCTGCTACACCAAAGTGGCCGCAGTGGCGTAGACTATTAGATTTTCTGTGGGATAAGCATTGCGTTCAAATGCTTAGTGTCAGAAGCATCAAAATTCCTCAAGGGTCAGTCGATTAGTAATTATCCTAAAGTTACCTGTAGAACGGATTAAATATTGGCTCTTCGGTTACATCGGAACTGCTCATGTCAGCTGAATGGGAGATATTCCCTGACTTCATCTCAATGCCCGTTTCAAATCGACATTCGCTAGAATGCCACAGCTACCAGTATGAACATCTACAGGCGAATTAAAGCTCAATTACATGAAAGTGCAATACGTTGAAATTTAACGTCCAAGCAAACATAAGAGCCTGACAAACTTCAGGAACGCCGAGCCTCACTCTTTTGCATTATAGGCGTGTCAAAACCCGAGTAGGCTTGCTAACCGCAACATTTACTTGGTATATTTCAGGCTGATTATTACAAGTTAGATGGTGCATCTGGAGTTGGGCAGATATTGGGCTGTAAGCCATTTGCGAATGTGTCCAAATTCGGTCGACCTCAAGTTACTCCCTGACACGTACACCTAAGTAGCGATTATTGTGGTTCACTGGGCCCATAATC